GGGCAGTCCAGGGCGAGTAGGAATCTGTAGTAATTCTAGCGTCGGTAGTCGACCGAGCCTCCATAGTCCAGCTAAGTGGTCACTTGTGAAAGTCGGGAGTGTTGTACGGCCAGTAGGGCCGCGCAAATGGGGTCGCAAACGCACGGGCAGCATCGTGGGCGGCATGTCCAGCATATGCTACGGCATAGCGCGCATCAGCAACCAAACCTCGGGCAGGGCCATGACGCAAGGCATAACGCCACTGTAGCCTACGGTAACAGAACCACTCTTCAGCACTGGCACTATCTGTGGCCCAAGCAGTGAAGACACAAGCTAGTAGTAGCTGGGAGAGCCGTCGTCGCATTGTGCGCAACCACCTCCGACCGTCGGTCCTACTGTCCATTAGTGCAAGTGTGTGTTCTGAAATCCAGTTCTGTCGGGGACGCCGTCCAGCTGGGGACTGTTTGGGGGGTAATGCCTCCTCAACGGTCCTCTTCAGCTGATCAGTGAGATACTGGGCATGGTCATCTGGGTGCATGTCGAATTTGGGCTGCGGGATCGCACGCAAGGCATCATGAAAGATCTGACGCCGCACAGGGTCGTCATACTTGTCGGGGTCGTGAACAAGTTCAGGCCAACGGGAGGCGAGGGACACTGCTGTGGTAGGGGGCACCTGCACATCAGCCGTCACAACAAAGTGGTCATCATTCCGAAGGGAAAGGTCCAGGTCCACTTCCACCCCTTGCCGAGAAACGTTCATGAGTTGATCGAGCGGGACCGTCACATAATCAATGCGGCGTCTGGGAACTTCACCACGCGAACGAGGAGGCAGCCAGGTACCGTGGACCCCAGAGTGGGAGTCCAAGAACGTGGCGGGCAAGCACTGTTGAGTGGTCCGTAGAAAGTCGTGAAAACGCAAACCAGCAAGGGTTTCAGACTCGGGCGCCACGGGGCCGACGTGCTCTGACTGTACCGATCCAACTGTAGCATTGGCGTCGAGCAAGCAATAGAGAGGAGCGGGTTGGGCACGACTGCTAACTGCATCCTCCATCTGTGACCACCACTGATCAATTGCTGTGGCCGTGTAGCGTGAGTGCGGCGCATGCCCGACAAGCACATCCATACCAAACCCGGTGCACGAATACTGACAAGTATGTGGCGTGGTGAATATGACAGTACGCGCACGTGTCGTCGCTCTAGCACTCGTCCAGGCATATACTCACGCTGCATGTTGACCCACAACGCGACCCCAAGACGTCCCTGTGGCTCGGCAGCAGACGTGAGCACACAAAAATTACCAGCGTTCGTCCATGCATTACGTCGTACACGCGTCTCTAGGGTACCCACAATAAATAGGCCATGATGTGCAAATTGTGCCGCCAACGCCATCATCCGTCCAGGTATGTCGAGACCGCTAGCATCCTGATAGCGACACCTGAGACGAATCCCTCCTCTCCGATGCTTCGTCCTGCGCGGCCGGAGAGTACGGACATTTGCCACGGCTAGTCATAGGACAGGATGGGCAGAGGTTGTGGCAGGTTCTCGAGGGACGCTCGAGTTTTCCTGTCCGCGTCCAGCATCGGGCGACAAGAAGGCCAACGAGGGACACATGGGAGGGGGCAGTATGGGAGGCAGGGGATGCATGCCAACTTTCGGGAACTGCCCTGAACTGGCGTGGTGGTCGGAGGCCAGCCACATCCACGGTACAGCGGCTGTGGCAGCATGCAGTGGCGCCCACGGCTGAAAGGTCGGCTCCACCGACGGCGCGATACCCATAGAGGCCAGTCGTGCAATAGTATCTGCAAGCTCGTTCGGTGGGTCAGCACAATGTCCATGTACAGGTAACCACCCCAGACGTACCTGTGTTCTCAGTAGCTTGAGAGCCCCATCGAGCAACTGTGGTAGGTCCCCGCATGAGCCGTACCGTACCCCCCCGCTGCAGCCTGTACCACCATGAGACTATCAGTATATACTTTGATAGGGTATCGTCGAAATTGTGTCGAAGCTTGCAGGAACCAGAGCACAACCCACAGCGCGGCTTGAACAAATCATCAGCACCGGAGACACTAGTAACCTGATCGCAGAGTGTGGGATCCACACCCGTGAGATATCCTTCGACCCGATATCGGCCGTCTGACGACACTGCACACAGTACCCAGGCCCAAGAAGGTGGCCCACCAATCAGAGCATGTTTTGAGCCTCCTGACCCATCGGTATGAACCTCGTAACGCACGATTTCTGAATCCAGGACGGGGGGGTGAGCTCCGAGGGTATCCAAAAACTGGCAAGTACTGCTATGGTGATATGGTTTAAAAAGATAGGAATCGGATGACTGAACGAGACCGAGAAAGAGAGGTGTGAGGGGCGATTCAGCAGGCCAGGGCTCGGCTAGCATGCGAAAGAGCTCCTGGCAGTCGGGAAGAGGGCAGGGAGGGCGCTCGTCCACGGGGTCCTCCCGTGGCGGCACCTGTGGGGCGGCTGGCAAAATGCTGGCCGCTGGCAGGCCGCGCGGCGCCTGCTCCGGGGCAGGCGTCTCAGGTGCCGCGGCCTGCGGGGGTGACATCGCCCCGACGACGACTCAGAGCTATCTTCTCCGCGAGCAGGGCGTACAGGCGGGCTGCGGCTGGCCAGCATGCGCGCCGGGCGCAGCGGTGGCTCCTCTCGTCCCTTGGGTGAGGGGGCACGAGGGTCGTCCACGCGCCCAGGCGGCGCGACCGCACCACGTCCACGATGAGAGGCCGCCTCTTGCTGTCGCTGCATGGCCTGCTGCAGGCCCTGCTGTCCTGGCGGCCTCGCAGCTCGCTTAGCATCCTTGGCCGCTTGGCGCGCCTCCTAGGCAGCCTGCCTGCGCGCCGCCTCCAGCCGTCGTGCCACCTCAGGCGTCGGGCTACGGCCCTCGCGCACCGCCGCCTCGGCGGCTGCCTCCATGCCCGCGGGCGGGGCCTCCGCGGCGGGCGGGCGGAGCTGGGCGGCGGCGGCGTCCGCAGCGGCTGCAGGGCCAGGCTGCGGCGCGGCGGGCCCGGCCGCTGGGCCAGGCGTGCCGTGCGCTGGCGGGGCGCCGTGGCTGCCAGCGGCCATCGCGGTCTGCAGCGAGGCCAGGGCGCTGGACATCTTCGCCATCTCCGCCGCCAGCTGCAGCTGTCCAGCCTGCAGCTGCGCGACCACAGCGACGGCTGGCGGTTCCTGCGCGGGCGGCGTCGCTGGCTGGGCGGGCTGCATGTCCTCGTCGTTGCCGTCGACCTCGACGAATCCTCCATCCTCAGCCTTGGCAGCCGGCGTCATCTCCTCGAGCTTCTCCAGCAGCAGCTGCGCACGGGCGAGCTCCTGCTCCCTCTGCTGCGCCTTCTCCTCCAAGAGGGTCAGCTCATCTCGGCAAGCGACGACGGCCGACTGAGCCTTCTCCAACTTCGTCTGCGCACGAGCCACAAACGCACGTTGACGGTCGCATCGCACTCCAGGACTGCGAGCAACAATGATCATACACAGGAGGGCAGCGTGCTCTGCTTCCTGGGCCTCGAGCTGAGCTGGCTGCACTCCGAGGTCTCGGGCAGCGCGGATGTGCTGTCCTGTGGCCGCCGCCATCTGCTTCAGGCTCTTGCGGTGGGCGGCCAGCTCCTTCTCCGTGGACGGCGGCTCGACCCAGCACCGGTGCTTGCGAGCCACCTCGGGGAGCGCGGGGAGGATGCCAAGCGGGGAGCTGGCCCCCCCCTTCCGAGTGCACCCTGTCGCATCATCGACGTCGTCCTCGAAGCCAACGTGTCGTTCATCATCTCGGCGGCGGCTGCGGCGGCGGCGGCGACTCGACGTGGTCCGAGTCGCACTGGCCGCGCGCTCCTGGCCAGCACTGGCCGCGCGGCGCCGCTCTCGCCGCTCGCCCATGTGGGGCTCGGGGGCTGGAGCGTCGGCGCGCGGCCCATGCGGTGGCATCGGCATGCACGTGCGGCACAGTAGATCATCCACTGCATTCGCCATGCCGCAGGTCGGGCACCACCAGCACTGCGGCGGGGGAGGCGGCACCACGCCCATCCATGGATGAAGGCCGGGCTGCAGGCCAACGCCTTTGCCCAGGTCAGGCACGCCTGCCGCGCCCTTGGCGCCAGCTCCTCCCTTGGCGCAGCCTCCGGCGCGGCCGCTGCAGCCCGCAGGGCCCTTGCCACCGCCACCATCGCCGCCCTTGGACATCATGGGGTCTGCGCTGTGGTGGGCGGCCAGGCGCGCGCGGGCTGCCTGCACGCGGCGCTCTGCCGGGAGCGCGAGCCGCGCGCGGGCGCGCGCGACGCTGAGCAGCGTCCGCGCCTGGCCGCGCAGCCAGCGTGCCCGGCGATGCCAGGCCGGGTCGGGGCGCGCTCGGCGCCGCCCGCTGGGCGTGGCGCCTGGGCGCGGTGCAGGCGCGCGTCGCGCGCGACACGCCTGGCAGGCGGCGCACGGCGCGCGAGGCGCGCAGCACGGCTAGCGCGCAGCACGCCAGGCGGGCGTGGCGGCCAGCGCGTATGGCAGCAGTCCTGCGGCAGTCGAGGTTCACAGCGCGCGGTACCCTGTACCGGGGCGCTGCGCCCAAAACCTCGAGCCGGGACGGCGGCTGGAGGGAGGGGGAGGGAGGGAGGGAGGGTGGAGGAGGGTGGAGGAGGGGGAGGAGGGGAGGGAGGGAGGGTGGAGGAGGGTGGAGGGAGGGGTAGGGAGGGTGGAGGAGGGTGGAGGGAGGAGGGAGGGAGGGTGGAGGAGGGTGGAGGGGAGGGAGGGGGAGGGAGGGAGGGAGGGTGGAGGAGGGTGAGCGAGGGCAACGAGGATGGCCCAGACCTCTGGCGACAGGTTTTTTTTTTTTTTTGAGTTGCAAGAGCGCGGTGCCCTCGGCCCGCGTCTCTGAGGCGGCCAGTTTCTCGTCCCTCGCCCTGGCAAGTTTCTTTGGTTGCGGCCTCCCTCCCCCGCACCGCCATCCTTCTCCTCCTCCTCCTCCTCCTCCTCCTCTTCTCCACCTCCTCCTCCTCCTCATCCCCCCCGCGAGCAAGAGACGTCATCCCCAGGCCGTGCTCGGCGGCGTCGCTGGTGAGGCCGGGGGCGCCGCCGCTGCCGCTGGCGGGGCCGCGCCTGGCGACGTCGTGCCGACGCCGTGGTGGAGGGAGGATCTCCGAGGGGGGCGCAGACGTTTCTCGGAAACGAGTGAGGGGGGGAAGTGAAGTCATCGCGCCTTCTGAGAATTTTTCTTCTGTCTCCGGGGAAGGCTTGGAAAAGTTCTCAGAAGGCCAGGGCCTTTGGAGCGTTCTGAGAAGGCCCGCCCCTTCTCACTTCCCCCCCGGGCGCGCCGCCTAGTTTCTCACCGCCCACCGAATCACCCCAACCCAACCCGAAGGCCCCCATGTGCCCTCCAGTCCCAGTGAAGGGGGGCGGGAAACATTGAAAAAACACGTCTGAAGGCCGCACCCCCCCGATCCCGAAGTTCGTGTCTTCGGGTTGGGTTTCGGTGGTCTGGCAGGTGTTCAGTTTCGGCCACGCGCAGAGGGGGGGAGAGGAAAAGGCTTCCTGGAAACACCCCCTGCTTAGAAGCACCCCTGCTTCTTGGAAGGCGCGGGCCTTGCTTGCAGACGTGGGGCTGGAGCTCCCTGATAAGCGGCCTCCTTCTGTGGTTTGGAACGGGCGGACGCACCCCCTGGATGGAGGGCGGGGGGGTTCGACCCCCCCCGCCTCCCGTGACGGAGGGGGGGGGGGTTCGACCCCCCCCCCTCCCCTATTTCTCCTCTCCCTCTCCTCGGCTGGCGGCGGCGGCGGGGACGACGATTTCCTTTTCTGGGCCGGCGCCAGCGCCTGCGGCGGCGGGCGGCGGCGGCGGCGGGGAGCGTCGACGAGGACGACGGTGGTGGTGGTGGTGGTGGTGGGTTGTGGTGGTGGTGGTGGTGGTGGTGGTGGTGGTGTGGTGGTGGTTTGTGGTGGTTGGTTTGGTGGTGGTGGTGGGGGTGGTGGATGGTGGTGTGGTGGTGGTGTGGTGGTGGTGCGTGGTGGTGGTGGGTTGGGGGTGGCGGTGGCGTTGTTGGAGGTGGTGCTGGTGGTGGTGGTGGTGGCGGTGGTGGGGTGTGGTGTGGGTGTGTGGTGGTTGGTGTGGTAGTGTGGTGGTGGTGGTGGTGGTGTGGTGGTGGCGTGGTAGTGGTGGTGGTGGTGGTAGTTGTGGTGGGTTTGGTTGTTGTGTGGTGGTGGTGATGGTGAGTTGTGGGTAGTGGTGGTGGTGGTGGTGGTGGCTGTGGTGGTGGTGGTGGTTGTGTGGTGGGTTGGTGTGGTGGTGGTGTAGTGGGTTGAGGCGGTGGTGGTGGTGGTGTTAGTTGTGGTGGTGGTGGTGGTGGTGGTATCGTCGCTGCGTCCCCGCCGTCGCCGGCGCCAGCGCCGGCGCCGGCGCCAGGGGGGGGGGGTTTGAACCCCCCCGTCCCCTCGGCGCCAGGGGGTTTGGACCCCCCCGCCTCTCCCTTTGGGCTGCCTCTGGTCATCGTCGCTGCGTCCCCGCCGTGGGCGCGGTTGGCGGCCGCCGGCGCCGGCGCCGAAGGGGGGGGTTCAAATCCCTCCCCCCTCCTTGAAGGGGGGGGGGTTCTGGAGGGGGGGGGTTTGGGGGGGAGGGGAGACCCCCTTGTTTTGATCGACGGCGCCGAGTGTTGGGGTGTGCCCACCCCCCAGTTCGAAACGCGCCGCCGAATGTTCCCAAGGCAAGCGCCCGTGAAACGCGTTCTCTCTGATGTTCCAACCTACTTTAGTCTTGCTCACCAGAAAAAAATTTTCGAGTACCACCGAACAAATACCGAAACACGAGGGTTTTCATGTGTCGGGCCCTGGGAGACACTCGTCCGACACTGTTTCGACACTCTTTCGACACGTTTCCGGGTGCTCGAAACTATTTCTCAGATGTGGTCATTAAGTACGATGGGAGCAACGTAGGCCTTGGGGAAGAGGAGGATCTCCTCCTGTTGCGGTCGGGCTGGGGTATCAGATCGAGGTTGGTTCGGGGAGGGTGCCTTGATGTTCTTCGTTTGCTTGTGAGATGTTCGTGCGCACTCTGGGGAAGGGTATTTTTCGAAGGTTCCTCCACTTGGGAGGCGGAGGGCTTGATTTTTTCGTGCAGGAGGCTCTTCTGTCCTTGGTCCGGATGCGTTCCTCCCCAGCATCCTTTCCAGCCCTCCACCCATTAGGAGAGCGAAAACATACAGACACAATTAATCGTCGATCCCAGGAAAATATGGAAAACATGGGAAGTGGGGGGAGACCCCTCCCCCCCCAAAAATGCAATATGGGGAATCCTGTTATTTGTATCTGTTTACTTGTGTGTCCCAGGGCCCCTTCAACCCAGCCCCCCCTCCTCCCGAAAGGTCAGGGTCGTCAAAGGGCGAGGAAGCCTGTGCCAGCGCGCCCGCCCCGTCTCGTGTGCCGACGCGCGCCGAGGGGGAGCAATCAGGTGGCCTTCCACACATCCCGCCACCGTTCAGGAGGGGAAAAAACACACAGACACAATTAATCGTCGATCCCTGGGAAAATATAGGAAAATATGGTGAATATTTTTATTTGTGTGTATTTATTTGTGTGTCCTGGGGCCCCTTCATTTTGGCCAGGGTCCTGTGGGATGCCTCACAAAAGGGGTCTCGTGGGATGGCTCAGAAAAGGGGCTTCGTGGTGGCGTTTTGGCGTCTCCTCGGCGCCTCCTTGGGGCGTCTTAGGGGTGTCTCGGGGGCCTCTGATGCGCCTCGGGCGGGCGGCCTGGGGGCTGGTGGCGGCCTTCTGGGGGTCTCGGAGGTCATCCTGGTACTTGAGCGCTCCCAATATTTCGTCGCGGTCCGAAAACATGAATGCGCAGTTGTTGTCGTTGATTTGTGACGTCGGGGATCTCTGGCAACTGGGGCTTGGGCCTGTCACTCATGATTGACAGTTCTCAGTGCAAAGAATTGGGAGGGACCTGCGGCGCGGCCGCGGGTTTACGAGGAGGAGGGGGAAGGGTTGGAAGAGGGGGAGGATGAGGATGAGGATGACGATGAGGATGAGGATGATGAAGATGATTTTCTTTGATGATTTTCTTTGATGATGATGCTGCTGATGATGATGCTGCTGATGATGCTGATACTGAATGGCAATGATGCTGATGATGCTGCTGATGATGATGGGGACGACGATGGTGATGATGGTGGTGGTGGTGGTGGTGACAATGATGATGATACTGATGACGATGATGACGATGACGATGATGATGATGGTGGTGATGATGATGCTGACGATGATGATGATGATGATGATGATGATGATGATGATGATGATGATGATGATGATGATGATGCTGATGATGATGATGATGATGGTGATGATACTGATGCTGACGCTGCTGCTGCTGCTGCTGATGCTGCTGCTGATGATGATGAGGAGGAGGAGTAAGATGACAAAGCTGAAGATGAAGACAAACATGCTGCTGCTGATGATGGTGATGATGCTGATAATGATGATGAAGGTGATGGTGATGCTGCAGCTTTTGATGATGAAGACGGCGATGGCGAGGACGACACAACGATACTGCTGATGATGAGGATGATGATGCTGATGATGATGACGATGATGACGCTGATGCTGATGCTGATGCTGATGATGATGATGATAGTGAGGATATTAATGTTGTTTTGGAGGATGATGCTGCTAGTGATGATGAAGAGGAAATGAGGAGGATGATGAGGAATGTGAGGATTATGATGATGTGAATGTCGATGATGCTTTGATGATGGTGATGATGGCGCTGGTGGTGATGATGCTGCTGCTGATGATGATGCTGATGCTGATGGTGATGACAACGATGGCGAGGACGACGACGATGATGATGATGCTGATGCTGGGGATGCTGCTGCTGATGATGCTGCTCATGATGATGATGATGATGACGATGATGATGATGACGATGATGATGATGATGATGATGATGATGATGATGATGATGATGCTCTGATGATTGTGATCAGGTGACGATGATGATGATGCTGCTGCTGCCGATGCTGATGAAGAAGATGGTGATGATGACGTTGATGACGATCATGATGATTATGCTGATGGCGGTGATGATGATTATGCTGACGATGATGGTGATGATGATGACGATGATGATGATGATGATGATGATGATGATTGTGATGATGATGCTGCTGCTGCTAAGGCTGATGAAGATGACGATGCTGATCTGATGATGATGCTGCTGATGGTGACGATGATGATACTGCTGCTGCTGCTGATGATGCTGATGATGATGCTTATGATGATGATGGTGGTGGTGATGATGATGAGCATGATGATGAAGTGAAGATGCCGATGATGATGCTGCTGATGCTCTTGCGGCTGATGATGATGATGATGATGTTGCTGATGATGCTGCTGCTGATGATGATACTGATTCTCATGATGATGAAGAAGCAGATGATGATGATGATGATGATGATGATGATGATGATGCTGATGATGATGATGATGATGGTGGTGGTGGTGATGATGATGATGATGATGACGATGATGATGCTGATGATGATGCCGCTGACGATGCTGCTGATGATGATGATACTGATGCTGCTGATGATGATGATAGTGATGCTGATGATGATGGTGATGATGATGTTGATGCTGATTCTGATCATGGTGATGATGCTGATGATGCTGATGCTGATAATGACGATGACGATGATGACGCTGATGCTGATGTTGCTGCTGATGATGACGATGATTATGCTGGTGCTGATGCTGATGCTGATCCTGGTGAATGCTGCTGATGATGATGACGAGGATGATGTTGATGTTTATTGTGATGATGATGTTGAAGATGATGATGACGATGATGATGGTGGTGATGATGATTATGATGATGCTGATGCTGATGAGGATGCTGCTGCTGCTGATGATGATGATGATGATGATGTTGATGCCGATCATGATGATGATGATGATGATGCTGATGGCGTGATGATGATGCCGATGATGATGATGCTGATGATGATGATGATGATGCTGATTATGATGATGCTGCTTATGATGATGCTAATACTTATGATGATGCTGATGATGATGATGATGCTTCTGCTGATGATGATGATGCTGATGATGATGTTGATGATGATGGTGATGATACTGATGATGATGATGATGACGATGATGATGATGCTGATGATGATGATGATGATGATGATGATGTTGATGCCGATCATGATGATGATGATGACGCTGATGGTGGTGATGATGATACTGATGCAGACGAAGATTATGATGCTGATGATGATGATGATGTGATGATGCTGATTCTGATGCTGATGATGATGCTGATGCCAGATGTAGATACTGCGGGGGGGCGCTTGATGTATGATGACGATGATGATGATGAATGCTGATGATGCTGAATGACCGATGATGATGATGATGATGCTGATGCTTGATGATGAAGATTATGATATGATGATGATGAAGATGAGAAGATGAAGATGATGATGATGATGATGATGATGATGATGCTGATGATATATGAAGAGCATATGAATGAATGAATGATGATATGATGATGATGATGATGATGATGATGATGCTGATGATGATGAAGATGATGAAGAGATGAGCTGGATGAGATGATGTAATGGATGATGATGATAGATGAAGATGATGATGATTAAAGATGATGATGATGAAGATGATGATGATGATAGATGATGATGATTATGAATGATGAATGATGAGATGATGGATTAATGAAGATGATGATGATGATGATGATGATGATGATGATGATGATGATGATGATGAGATGATGAAGATGATTTAGTCTGATGATGAAGATGAAGGTGAGGATGATGATGATGATGGGAGGATGAAGGAGAGGAGGAGGAGGAGGAGGAGAGGAGGGAGGATGAAGGAGGAGGCGGAGCAGAGGGAGGGGAGGGAGGAGGAGGAGGAAGGAGGAGGAGGAGGAGGAGGAGGAGGAAGGAAAAGGAAGGAGGAGGAGCAGTCAGGAGGAGGAGCAGAGGATGGTCTAGGTGGAGGGTGGAGGAGGAAGGAGGAGATGAGGTGAGGAGGAGGAGGAGGAGGAGGAGAGGATGAGGATGAGGAGGAGGAGGAGGAACAGGAGGAGGAAACGGGGAGGAGGAGGAGGAGGAGGAGGAGGAGGAGGAGGAGGAGGAGGAGGAGGAGGAGGAGGAGGAGGAGGAACATAAGGAACTGTAGCAGGAGCAGGAGCAGGAGTAAGAGAGGGACGAGGAGGAGCTGGCGGAAAAAAGGTTGGCGGAGGCGGCCCGCGGACATCCCCCTCCGAGAGGATGCCAACACCCAGATGCTGCAGATCCCCCCGACGTGGCGCCACAGCCAGGATCGCACAGGACGTGGGGGGGACCCCCGAAGGGGCCCAGACGTCTGGCGGCCTGAACAGTCTCGGGCGATCGCAAACACGGATCAAGGGGCGTGGACTAGCGACGGGTCCCGTTTCCACAGGGGACCTGGGATTGCCGCCGCCGAGCGAGGCGGCACCTGCCGCATTTTGGGGAGGGCACCTCCCCCAATCCACGGATTTGGCGACGGCGTGCCAAATCCATGGATCGCCAAGCCATGCTTGCGAGCCCCCGAACAGTCGGCGTGGCCAGGGTTTCGGCTGTGCGGGCCTCCGACGGGCAGTTTCGGGCCCCAGGAAGCCACGAGCCGACTCAGGACGAAGTCTTGCGCCGGGAGAGGGGTCGACAAGTCCGCTGGCCCATGTCTGGAAAAAGCTGGCCCGCCAGAGTTCTGGGTTCCAGGTGCGACGATGCATTTGTCTTTGTAGATTTTGTGGCTTGTGAGCTTCGCCGTCCTCACCGTCGTTTTCTCCTCATCGTACTCCTTGTCGTCGCCTCCCTCACCCTCGTCCTCGCACTCCGAGGCTTGAGGATGCAGGATGTTGGTGCTCGTGGTAGCTTCTGGAGAGTTCGCTGGACATGGTCCTGGAGTCTCCTGCAGACCCCCAGAGACTGCCAGAGGATGTTTCGCTCTCCTGGCGCTCTTGGGCCTCCGAGAGCCTCCTCCCCCTAGAACCCCCCACCCCCGTCACCGCGGCTGGGGAGGAGGAGGAGGAGGAGGAGGAGGAGGAGGAGGAGGAGGAGGAGGAGGAGGAGGAGAAGTGGCCATGTCGAAGGCGCTCCGGGAGAGGCCCCCGTGGTGGCCTCCGAGGGGGTCCCTGGCGTAGTCGGGCGTCGGCGGGCTTTTTTTTGCGTTCGGCCCCGCTGCCCGCCGGGGCCCTCGCGGCTCCCGGGGGCGGCGCGGGGGGTGCCGGCGGAGAGGCGCCGCGTGGGCGCGCTCCGCCGAGCTGCCAGCGCCGGGCGGGGCTTCTCCAGTGGAGAGCTGTGCCACGGAGCACGCCGCTGTCCGAGGCGGGGATTTATCCAGATCCACCGCCTGGGGGGTCAGTGTTCGGAGCCTCGGCGGGCGGTGGATATGGACCTCTTCGGACCCCTCGGGGCCGAAGCATATCCACATCCACCGCCCGCTGGGGCACCAGGGCGTCGGGCCACGGGGACCCCTCGGGGGGCCTCGGGCGGTGGCCGCCTCGGGCGGCCCGGGGGGCTCCACTCGATGCACAAGCAACAGCATCGACATAAACTTTTCGGGCTCGTCTCGAGGCAGCAAAAAACAGGAGGGAACAAAAACACACAGACACAATTAATCGTCGATTCCCCAGAAAATATGGGAAAATATGGGAATTGGGCGGGAAGACAGAAATCCAGAAAATATGGGAAAATATGGGCGTTTATTCTATTTGTGTATTTATTTGTGTGTCCCAGGGCCCCTTCAAACAAAAACGGCACAACCATACACTTTTGGAGTTCCGCGCGTATATTTCTTCGCGCCGATCCCACGAAGTGCGCGCGGAGCTCTACAAGTTCATATGCTCGTGCCGCTCCTGCTCTATGGCTCCTCCCCCCTCCTCCGGATATGTTTTTTGTCGCGCCATGTTTTCTTTATGATTCTATGCCATGTTGCCCTTGTCGGGGATCCGGCTGCTCTTGTGGCATGTTCTTCCGCTCGTCTCTCGCTTTATGGCTCCTCCCCCCTCCGGATATGTTTTTTGTCGTGCCATTATTTCTCCATGATTCTATGCCATGTTGCTCTTGTCGGGGATCCGGCTGCTCTTGTGGCATGTTCTTCGATCCCGCGCGGAGTTTGGCCAGAGGCATGCTCTTGCCCACGCGCCCGCTTGCGTCTGGCCTGCTCTGCTCTGCTCTGTCCCTCCCCCCATCGCCCCCCTCCGCCGCCCCCGCCCCGCACGTCGGACCCCGAGCGTGCCCTGGGTCGCGTCCCGGCCACTTGGCATCGCTCGGACGTGTGCATTTTTCCTTCGGCGAGGACCATCTAGGAACATCCTTGATCCTTTGGCGACCAAGCCACGCGCGAAGCCGAACAAAAACACAGGGAACGGACGTCCGAGCGATGGCCAGGCCAGGATCTGGGGATGGGCCCCGCCCGCGGCGACGAGGGCGCGCCCCCGGAGGCCCCGCGGCGCGCAGCCGCGCGCCCCTCCTCCGCCCGTGGGGCCCGTGGGGCCCCCCTGCGCCCTCGACCCTCGCCTCCGGCGAGGAGGCCGGCGTGACGGCGCGGGGCACGAGGCGAGGCCCGAGAAGGAGCGGGCCGGACGAACGGGGGGGGGGGATTGGGAAAGGGGTGGGGGGGGGTACGAAGTTCCGCTGCACGCAGCTGGTTTCGGCCCCACCGAGGGCCCATTCCTCGATGCAGAGCCGCCTCCCGCGCCGGGAAAATCAGCTGCGTGAGCTGCTCTCCACCCCCCCCCCCCCTTTGCTACCCCCCCCCCTGTCGCCTGGCCCGAAAGGAGGTGACGGCCATCGTCACGCACGCCGGCAAGAACAGCCAGGACGGGGGGCGGGCGACCGATCTCGCCGCCGCGGGCTGCCACCCCGCCCGCCTCCCCTCTGCCTCCTCCTCACTCGCTCACTCACTCATGGCAAGAGGTTCCTCTCCTCCTCCATGCACTCCTCCCCCTCGCTTCCTCCTCCTCCTCCTCCTCGGCCCCTCCCTCCTCCTTTTCCTCCCCTTCCTCCTCCTCCTCCCCCTCCTCTCCTTCGTCCCTCCTTATCCCCCACCCGCCTCCTTCCTCCTCCTCCTCCTCCTCCTCCTCCTCCTCCTCCTCTCGCTCCCCTCCCCTCCTCCTCTCTCCCCTCTTCCTCCTCCTCTCCCCTCCTCCTCCTCCTACCTCTCCCTCCCCTCCTCCTCCTCCTCCTCCTCCTCCTCCTCCTCCTCCTCTCCCTCCTCCCCCTCCTCCCCTTCCTCCTCCTCCTCCTCCTCCTCCTCCTCCTCCTCCTCCTCCTCCTCCTCCTCCTACCTCCTCCTCCTGCTTATCCTCGACCCACTTCTCCCTCCCCCCTCCTCCCGCCTCTTTCGTCCTGCCGCCTCTTTCTCTCTCTCCCTCCTCCCTCTTCTCTCCTCCTCCCCCTGCTCCCCCTGCCTCCCTCTCTTCGCTCTTTCCTCCCTTCTTCGTCCCTCCTCCTCCTCCTCCTCCTCCTCCTTCTCCTCCTCTCCTCCTCCTCCTCCTCCTCCTCCTCCTCCTCCTCCTCCTCCTCCTCCCCCTCCCCCTCCTCCCTCCCCCCCCCTCCCGAGGCCCCTCGAAGTCCTCCGAGGCACCCCGAGAGTTGCCCGAGGCCCCCGTGAGCCTCTCGGAGCCTTCCGAAGCTCCCCCCGACAGGCTTCGAGCTGGCCCCATGGCCCATTGTCTTTGCCACCTCGCGCTTAGGATGACTTCTGCGACGCCAGTGAGGACAGCGACGAAAACGACGACGGCGGCAGTGACGGGAGTGACGGACGACGAGGGAGGACGGCGGCGCACGACGATGACGAGGAGGACGCTGCGCCAGCTGAGGCCGTGGCCCGCGCGCGCAGGAGTTCATCGATATGGCCGTGATGCTTGCCGTCTCGCTGAAGCGCCACGTTCCCGACTACCCCCGGTTCGCCATCGCGGTCAGGCCCTCCCCGTCGTCGTCTGACACAGGTTGTTTCCACCCATCCCGTGGCAGGGCTGGACCTAAACGGTGTTTTCGGTGATTTCGTAGACCTTTTCGTTTCGACTTCATTTTGCGGTAAAGGCGGATTCGAGACACAAGCGAGGGACAACGAAAACAAAACGAAAACGAAAAACACCGTTTCGGTTCAGCCCTGTCCCGTGGTGTCGGGTCCTCGTTTTGAATCCGCAGCGCCCGGCGCCCCCCTCACCTTAACCTCGGTGGCAGCGCCCGCGTGCTGGGCGAGCCCTCTTGGGCGCCGCTGTGGGACGGATCCCCCTCGAGGCCCAGGAACCGAGGAAGGGGGAACGATCAGGGAGGAAGAGAAGGAGGATGATGAGAATAGGAGGAGGAGGAGGAGGAGGAGGAGGAGGAGGAGGAGGAGGAGGAGAGGAGAGGAGGAGGAGGAGGAGGAGGAGGAGGAGAGGAGGAGGAGGAGGAGGAGGCGGAGGAGGCGGAGGAGGAGGAGGAGGAGGGAGGAGGAGGAGGAGGAGGAGGAGGAAGGAGGAGGAGGGAGGAGGGAGGAGGAGGAGGAGGAGAGGAGGCGGGAGGAGGAGGCGGAGGAGGAGGAGAGGAGGAGGAGGAGAGGAGGAGGAGTGAGGAAGGAGGCGGGAGGAGGAGGACGCGGAGGAGGAGGAGGAGGAGGGAGGAGGAGGAGGAGGAGGAGGAGGAGAGGAGGCGGGAGGAGGAGGCGGGAGGAGGAGGATGAGGAGGAGGGGGAGGAGGGGATCGGATTTATCTCATTGGGCGCCACCTAGAGGGCAGGCCCCGCCGCCCCGCGTCCTGCCGGCCTGGTCGCTCTTGCCAGGGAGTCTCAAGGATCGTGCGCGAAGGGAAGCTGAGGAGGGTGCAAAGGAAATCCCAGATCGGCCACGCGCAAAGGGGGGGTAGGTGGAAGGGGGAAGCCTTCTTGGAAGCACCCCTGCTTCTTAGAAGGCGCGGGCCTTCTCTACAGATGTAAGGCCAGCGCCTTCTTAGAAGCAGTCTCCGTCTAAGCAGCCCCTCCCCCTACCCCCTTCTGCGCGCCGCCAACCAGAGGGGGGGCGGGGGAGGCGGGGGAGGACGAGGTGCTGGGAGGACGGGGGAGGCCCAGGAGGGGCAGGTGGAGACAGAGGTGGGAACGTAAGAGATGGGGGAGTGACAGGGGGAAGATCCGCAGGAGGATTAGAGGATGAAGAGGCGGAGGAGAAGAACGATGAGGTGCAGGAGGATGTGGAGGAGGGGGACGGGGTAGTGGGAGGGGTAAACCTCTGGGAAGAAAGGGGGTGGATTTGTTCAACCCCGTCGCTCATTCCGCCGTGCCACCCAGCGTTACTTTGTCGCGGGATGCTACTTGGAGTCCGTCGGGAGGCGTCTGGGAGGCATTTTTGAGGGCTCCAAGGGCCTCTTGGGGCCTCTTTGGAGGGTCGTCAGGGCCATCTGATGGCCTCTTGGGGCCATCTTTTCAAACATGGGGCCTCTTGTTGGCCTCTCGAGCCTTCCTTGAGCCCTCCGTGGGGCCCTTCTGGGCAGTCTGGGGGTCCTCCCGGAGGCCTCCTGGGCTATCTTCTTGGGGCACTGGGACGCCTCTTGGACCGTCTGGAATAACATTTTCTGCCGCTGCTGGGGAAGGACCCTCTCCCCAAACCATGGGGGGGAGGGAGGGGGTTCCGGACGCCTCCCCACTTTCCCCCGGGATAGTATTAGCATTCGGAGGGGTCCATGACGCCCTTTCCCCCCTCCCGTCGCCAGGAAAACAATTCGAGGGATCCACATCCCCTCTGGCGACGACGACGCTCTCGCAGATCCCCCGCGGCGGATCCGGGCCATTTGCGAGTGGTTGCTCTGCGAGTCGTGGAACGCGCTTGCCGACGAACACGGGCGGGAGAGGGCAGTCCCCGGAGATGGAGGAGAGCGCGCCCGTGGAGCTCTCCCTGCTGCAATCGGGAGGGAAAGAGCACACACAAAGACACAGTGAATCGTCGATTCCCCAGGGAAATAGGGGAACATCTGGGAAGTGGGGGGGAAGATCAAAAAGCCAGAAAACACGGGAAACTATGGGGAATCCTGTTATTTGTGTGTATTTATTTGTGTGTCCTGGGGCCCCTTCATACAAGGGAGGGCCCCAGCTTCAAGCTGCCCCCCCCCCCCCTTCCGGGCGCGCTCGCTCAGAGGTTGGTAGAGGATCGGGGGCGGCCGAGAGGGGGGTGAGGGACCAGGGGCGGGGCGGGTATCAGGGCGAGGGCCATGATATTTCCCCAGGTTTCGTGGCGCCTCTTCTCGTTTCCATGCGTTCCCTGCCCCCCCCCCCCCCCCTTGGGCCGCGCACATGCCGCCGGCCATGATTTGCGCCCCCCCTTCTTGGACGCCTCCCTCTTGGCCGCACCCGAGAGGCAGGGAGGCGGGGGAGGGGGCGGGGGGGGGCGAGGGCAGGGGTGGAGGAGAGGAGGGGGGGAGCGGGAGGAGAGGGGTGGAGGGAACAGGTGTGGTGTGTGTGTGTGTGGGTGGGTGGGGGGGGTTGGGGGGACGGGGGGCGGGGGAGAAGATGGGAGAGGACGGGGGAGATGTGGGAGGGCAGGGGAGGGATCCTGTTCCTGGCCCGGCTCAGGGCTCCTGCTGATGCTGCTCTTCCTGCCTGGTCCCGTGGTTGCCTGCTGCTGCTGCGGCTGCCGCCTGCTCCTGTCGCCTGCTCCCAAGCCAGTATCCAGGTATGTGCTAAGAGCACCTTCACGCAAGTTCAGGTTCGGTGGCTTCTGGGGAAACTGGTGGTGCACAAGACGTGGCTGGTCCGTACGTGCGACCGGCGGGGATAGTATCAATGGCTATTTGTCTGAGCAGTGTGAACTGCCGATCCAAGATGGCCTGCGGGCGATTCCACATTCTAAGGGAGGCAAGCCTGCGCCACGCCAGGGCTACTGGGAAACCCCGATATGGCGCGCATGCTCGAAGAGGTGTCCTCCGACATCGTCGTTGCCAAATTCTTCGAATCATCCTCTTTCGCCTCGTCGTCGTCGTCGTCGTCGTCGTCGTCGTCGTCGTCCACTTACTCCTCCCACCTTCTTCCCCCCACCCTCCTCCTCATCACTCTCCTCTTCTACCCCTCCTTCTCCTCTTCCAGCCACCTTCTTCCGTTCCTTTCCTCCTCCTCCTCCTCCTCCTTTTCCTCCTCCTCCTCCTCTTCCTCCTCGTCCTCCTTCATGTTTTCCTCCTCCTCCTCGTCCTCCTCCTTACCTCTCCCCCCTTCATGTGTCAGGGGGATGACCGAGACGAACCAGGAAACGCTGTCGAAGGCTGGCTGGACCGTCGTCCTGGTCGCAGGGGCTGAACGGCCGTTTGCTGTTGCTGCTGCTACTCCCCCACAGCCATTCTCGCCCCTTCGCCCTCTCCTCCACTCTCTTTCTCTTCTCCGTCCTCCTCTTCCCACCTCCGTCCCTCCGTCCCATGTCCTCCTCCTTTCCCTCCGGCTGGTCTTCCCTCCTCCCCCTTTTCCTCTGGTCCACCCCCCTCCTCTTTCCCTTTTTCCGCTTTCTGCTTTCTTCTGCTGCTCGTTCTGCCCAGCCAGCCCCTTTTTCTTTAGCATCTTCGAGAGTTGTCGCATCCTCAATTCCTTCCTGCTGCTGCTCCGCCCCATCGTGCTATCGTCCTTCTCCTCCCCTGCTCTTCCCTGCCATCCTCCTGCCGGATGGCTCCGCGGCGCGGCGGCGGCCGTTATTGTTTCAGGCAGGTGGAACCTGCTCCATGGGATGCACTGCCTCAAGCAGTCGCACCAAGCAGAGGTCAGAGCCAGACACATGCACACACACAGACTGGACCATCTGGGATCGCGCACTTCTTTCCGAGGCGGGAATTCATCCATATCCACCGCCTGGAGGGTCAGTTTTCGGAGCCTCGGCAGGCGGTTGATATGGACATATTCGGGCCCCCGGGGGCCGAAATATGTCAATACCCACCGCCCGCTGCGGCACCAGGACTCCGGTTCCCAGGCGGGGGATGTGGATAAATCCCCGCCTCGCTCGGCCCCTCCTGCACGCGAGAGCGGGCCTGGGAGCGCCGCCTCGGGAGGGACGGCGGCGGGGCCGTGCGCACCGTCCAGCGCGAGCACGGTGCGGAGGCGTGGCTTCCGGCGCGGGCTGGGCGAGGCCCTCCGCCTCTGGCCAGCCCTCCCCGGGGGGAGGCCAGGAAGTGGGCCGAGGCCGAGAGGGCTGGCCCCCCCCCCCTCCCTGACGAACCAACAACACACACCCATACCCATAGGGGGGTCGGAAAGGGCTACGGGTGCGTGTTGTCGGATGGGGGTCCCCTTTCGAACGGGAGCGTTCCCTAGGGTCCGACAACCCGCACCCATACCCATAGCCAGTCCTCCTCCCAACGACCCCCTTATGGGTATGGGTGTGTGTTGTTCGTTCGTCACTCCCCCCCCTGCCGCCCAGCGTCGAAGCGTCGACAACGAGGACGTTCCCCCGACCGAGGCGGGGAAGCGGCGGCGGTGCGCGGGCATCCGGCGGAGCCCCGTAGGACGCACTGCCTCAGACAGTCGCATCAAGCAGAGGTCCAGAGCCAGAACCCCCCCTCCCCCCTGTTGGCGATCTTGGGGCGATCTTGGGGGCCTCTTGGGCCGTCTTGAGCCGTCGGAATGCCGAAAAAGAGCACATGCCACAATCCTTCCAGAACCTTCGGAACATCCACGATTTTGGCCTCTCTGGGTCCTCCTGGAGGACCTCTCGGAGGCCTCTTGGGCTGTCTTGGAGGCCTCTTGGGGGCCTCTTGGGCCTCCTTCCGCCCAGCGTCGAGACGCCGAGAAAGGAAACGTTCCCCCGACCGAGGCGGCTCTCGGAGGCCTCTTGGGCTGTGTTGGAGGCCTCTTGGGGGCCTCTTGGGCCCCCTTCCGCCCAGCGTCGAGGCGCCGAGAAAGGAAACCTTCCCCCGACCGAGGCGGGGACCGAGGCGGGCGGTGCGCGGGCAGCGGGCGGGGAACCCCGGGAAGCGCGCGCTTGCCGGCGCACCGAGGCGGCGACGGGCGGCCGCGAGGCGGAAGCTCGG